TGTAGGGGCTGTTCTGTGCAGTGTAGGATGTTTAGTAGCATCCCTGATCTTTACTCACTAGGTATAAGTAGCACCCACATACACACACAGTTGTGATAACCCAAAACGTCCCCTGTTGAGAACCACTGTATAAAGAAGAGAAGAGGGGACTTCCCTGGTGGTGTCCAGGGGTTGAGACTCCACGCTCCCAATGTAGGGGGCCCAGGTTCGATCCCCGGTCAGGGAGCTAGATCCCACATGCATGCCGCAACTAAGAGTCCGCATGCCGTAATGAAGATCCTGCACACAGCAACAAAGGTCCCACGTGCTGCAGCTAGGACCCGGCACAGCCAAATAAATAAATAATTAAAAAAAAAAAAAAAGGAAGAGAAGAGGACCAAACACTCTAACATTCTATCACACCCGTTCACATCCAGGTTACAGTGCATCATATCACCACTTTCTTCTCAGCACCCCAAACCAACTTATCCCCTTGTCCTTGTTCTGTTACCTCCAAACCTTAGTTCAATATCACCATCCACTTTACTATTTATTCTCAGTTTCCAAGCACTGCTGGAGAAAAGTCCCACATGCTTATTACATGTAGTGCTACACATATTTAGTCTTCATCCTCAGGTGAACCCTCCAAAATACTGTCATATTTCCCTAGGTCGATCCCTCTCCCATCCCACATGGCACCTATTCCAAACTTTTATCATTTGCCTTAAGACCAATAATGTTTCCTCACTATACATTCATTACTTCGTTAACTGACTTTCTCCTAAACCACAGAGTAAGCTCTCTGCCTTGGTGTTAGAATATAGTAGACTTTCAATCAATGTATGAATCCTTCCCTCCAGCCTTTGTCAGTTTCCTATTTCACAGTAAATCGAGGCCATCAGGAATGAACTCTATCAATATTCTGCCCCCACAATTACAAATTTAACTCTATCTGGGGACACTTTTCAGCTGGTCTTCAGTTCTTGCTAATGTAACTGATGAACTTCCTATCTACCAAATAGTCAAGAATCAGCTTTCCTTTTAACTGACCTCTACTAAGTACCTGATATGGGTACTTATACATCATGAAGGTGAGTGGGTATTTCTCAAGGTTCTAAACTTGACACTCTTCTCTTTTCCTTCTATATATTCTCTTTGGACTAGCTCATTCATGCTCAAGGCTTCCACCCCTACCATTTAAGCTGAAAACTCCCAAATCCACGTACCCAAGCCAAACCTTATTTCTAGGTTCTAAATACTTTATGTCTAATGTCTGGTGGTAGTCATTCCTCCTCAAACTTCCCAGAGGCACTTCAACATGTCAAAAACTAAACCTATCTTCTCCCTCTCTACGTATTCATCTTCCTGTACTCCCCCATCCTTTCTTTATTCATCGAACAAACAAGTACGTACCAGGACGTATGATAGGCACTGCAAATACAAAGCCATATTAACTTTTCAAAACGAACTCACAGTCTAGGAACCAAGAGACAGTGAAAATAATAATATAATCCAATAACCACAAAGACTGACATATGGGGGACTTTCCTGGTGGCACAGTGGTTAAGAATCCGCCTGCCAATGCAGGGGACACAGGTTCAAGCCCTGGTCCGGGAAGACTCCACATTCCGTGGAGCAACTAAGCCCATGCGCCACAACTACTGAGCCTGCACTCTAGAGCCTGCGAGCCACAACTACTGAAGCCCGCACGTCTAGAGCCCGTGCTCCACAACAAGAGAAGCCACCGCCATGAGAAGCCCGCGCACCGCAATGAAGAGTAGCCTCTGCTCGACGCAACTAGAGAAAGGCCCGCATGCAGCAATGAAGACCCAACACAGCCAAAAATAAATAAAGAAATAAATAAATTTATTTATTTTAAAAAGACTGACATATGCACAAGGCGCTACAGAAGTATAAGAATACAGAGGCAAAAATAGGGAAGGTATCCTGGAGGATTTAATGCCTGAAATGAATCTTAAAATAAAAATAGGAATTAACCAGAGATAATCAGCCTAAAAAAAGGAATATGGTATGGACAGGCTATTATAAGCAATTCAGAACATAAAATCCAAAGCAAGAAGTGGCAACTGTAAACCAGATAGATCACAGAGCACCTTAAAGGCCATATTAACAAACTTATACTTCATCCTGAATGCAAATGGTAACTTCAAAGGAGTTTTAAGTATGGAATGATGTGATATGGCTTCTGTATCAGATATTTCTAGCAGTTGTGTTTAAGGGTGACAATTATAGGCAGTTATAAGGCTAGTTGAACAGTCTAGGCAAGAGGAAAGCCTGCACAAGGGGCAGTGGTATTAAGGTTAGAAAGAAGAGACACAACAAAGAAATAATTAGCAAGCTAAGTAGGTGGGCCTTCCTAATTAATTGGCTATCCAGAGGCCAGGGTCAAGGAGGAGTGAGGATTTAAGATGGCTCCTGGCCAAGTTCCAAGCTTGGCTGAAAAGAGCACCCCACAAATCAGTAAGAGTAAGAAAAGAAATCCAGTAGAAAAAAGGCAAAGGCTATAATCAGGCGATTCACAGAAAAATAAAAGGCCATTAAACACATTTTAAAAGTTCAATTTCACTGGTAATCACTTCAAGGCAAATTACAATGGGATACCATTACCATTCCCACCTCCAAAAAAAGATTTACAAAATTTTAAAAGATAGATAATATTCATTGCTAGTAAAGGTGTGGGAATATGAATATATCTATACACTAATACTGGAGCATAGTTTGGAACACCCTTTTAAGGTGCAATTTAACAGTATATTTCAACACTTAAAGCATACATTCCCTTTGAACCAGGAATTCTACTTCTAAGAATGTAGGCATTCACACTTATATAAAAAGTTCTATATGAACTATAGAACATTCTATAAGAATGTCCATTGTAGATGATTTAAACAAGAATATGGAGACAACCTAAACATCAATCCTTAGGGAGAGGTTAAATCACTTACGGTAATCCATACCACAGAAGAGTACAATACAACCTAAAATATATATGAAACGAAATGGAAATTTCAAAAAAATCCATATTTTAGGGGAAAAACTAAATCACAAAATATATTCCAATTTATGTTTAAGAAATAAAAGCCCACATATGTTTGTGAATGCACAGATAAAGGTCAAGAAGAACATTTTGGAGAGAACAGTAGAACGGAGGAATGGACGGGATAAATGGACACTCATTTTTCACTTTAGTTAAGTATATAGTTTGATTTTTCCCCCCACACAAAGGTAAATTACTTTTATAATATTAAAAATGAAAAACATAATGTGACATGTGGCATGTGGCATGTGACTAGCTGATAAAGCAACTTAATAAGTAAAATAGATCCAGTGGCTTTTCTAAAGCCACAGCCTAAGCTAGTAAGTATTTAATAAAGACTACTACTAAACATCTCTTTTGTTGTTAGCTATCCTCATATATGCTTTACACAATGCCCAAAGGGACTGCATTCACCTGTGCCCCTTGCTGGTAGGGCAAGCCCACTTACAGCATTCATGCTGCTCAAAGCTATACTCCAAGATTTTTTCTTTGCAATGCAGGAATCATGTCAAATGACACTGCACATCTTTATATCTTTAATCTTCTTGAAAAGTTTTGAAAACGTACAATCAATGTTTACCACTCCTGATATGAATGGTTGTAATAAAATTTAAGTGACTGAGAAAACAATGAGGACAGAGAGTGAGAAAGAAATATTTTGACCCGTAATTTAACTAAAACTTGGCTTTCATTCATTGTTTCTTAACACAGTGTACTCTTTCAACATTTTCTCAAGAACATAAACTATTTTTGGAATTTTCCCTCTTTGTTATATAACAAGTATTTCCTTGTAACAAATTCTTTCTGATGACTGTTTATAACATTCTTTTACTTCTGCAACCAAATCTCTCCAAGTAACTTTCAAGTGAAAGTTTCAACTTTCAACTTTCAACTTTCATTTTCTCCAATATCAAAGAGACCACTAACATAGCAAACTGAGGCGAAGCTTCACTTCTGAAGGTACATAAAAAATAATAACAAACATTTGCTTCCAGTAGAGTACCCCTTTTTGTATCTGAGGTCAAGAAGGAAGGTACTAATTCATTTTGACTACTGGATGATTAAAACTGAGCCTTTTTTATGACTTGCTGTTACGGGCTGAATTGTGTTTCTGTGTCTCACCCCCCACCCAGCCAAAATTCATATGTTTAAGTCCTAACCCCAGTACCTCAGAATGTGATTGCATTTGGAGATAGGGTCTTTAAAGAGATAATTAAGTTAAAATAAGGCCATTATGGTAGGCCCTAATCCAATATGACCAATGTCCTCATAAGAGGAGGAAGTTAGGATGCAGATACGTAGCTCATGTATTCTTTTCCTCCCAAAGAGGAGAAGACGACTATCTATAAACCAAGGAGAGGGGCCTCAAAAGAAACCAAGCCTGCTGACACCTTGATCTCAACTTCTAGCCTCCAGAGCTGTGAGAAAATAAATTTCTGTTCAAGCCACTGTTATGGACTGAGTTACATCTTCCCAAAATTCATAATTTGAAGCCCTAACTCCCAATGTGACTATATTTAGAAACAGGACATTTAAGGAGGTAATAAAGGTTAAGTGAGGTCCTAACGGTGGGGCCCTAAGCCCATAGGACTAGTGTCTTTTCTAGAGAAAGGGAAACCAGAGATTCCTCTCTTCCACGCATGCACAGAGAAGAGGCCATGTGAGGATAGAGCGAAAAGACTATAAGCTGAGAAGAGAGGCCTCACCAGAAACCAACCCTGATGACACTTTGATCTTGGACTTCTTGCCTCCAGAAATGTGAAAAAATGAATTTCAGTTATTTAAGCCACCCAGTCTGTGGTACTTTGCTACAGCAGCCCAAGCAGACTAATACGCTTGCCAATCAAGTAATTTTAAAACCATTTTTGCTTTCCATATCAGAGAAGACAAAGCATTTAAGCACCCACTGAAACAATAAAACCACAGGCCAGTTGATGGAAGCTTTTCATAACATCTTTCTCACCTTCTTAAAGAATGTTGCAGGTGCCATTTCAGATCCACTCAGTGTTCGCAAGAGGAACATTGGCCAAGATGATGTGTTCATCTGGTACCCTATTTTATAAAATAAAGCAGAAATCAATTTTAAAAAGCCTCCCTGTGATATTACAGCAAGGTGGTATTAAAAAAAATGTTTCATTTACCATTCTCCTTCAGAGAATGACTTTCTTATTGACGAACTCAGGAAATGGGCAAGAGGAGCTGGTGTACCTTCCAATCAGTGCTACTGTATCCACTGTACTATTAAACAAGAATGCTACAGTGGGGGTAGAAATTCTCATCTTAAAGAAGCCACTAGCTAGGGTTCACCAACATACACATATATGTTGGGAATGGGCAATACTAGGAGAAATCCAAGCCAGAGCCCAAGAGAGCTTCCATTCCCCACCAACAATCACACACGCAGGGTAAAAAGGCCGCAAAAGACTTCCAGTCCCTCTTTTTCCTCAGAGCCTCTGCCTTATTTCCTTTCCGAAAGACAGTTTTCTGTCAAACTCAGCAAATGTACACTTGTGATGGTGCATTTCACCATATGTAAATTTCGCCTCAAAAGGGAAAAAACCTGTAAATAAACAGTGGACTCTAGTTAATGATATGCATGCGAACGTATTTAGGAGAAATGCACTGATGTCAATAACTTATCCTGAAGTGCATTTAAAAATATGATGGACTGATGAATCGACAGAAGGACAGATGGACAGATAAGTGATAAAGCAAGTATAGTAAAATGATAACCGGTAGAGCCTAGGTAGTGGGTATGTGGGGGTTCACTGCAAAATTCTTTCACCTTTTTTGTAGGTTTGACATTTTTCATACATTATATTGGGAAAAAAGACAGCTCTCACTTTAGTAAACTTTGCTCACTAAATGATCTTATCTTAGAACTTTTATCAGATACTATCAAAATAGACTCGACAGGTGTCTTCTCTAGAGATCTCATCAATTAATGGTGAATATCACAGCATCTGGCATGTGTAGCAGGGAGCAGCGATCTGCTAGTTTTAGTATTTTCTGGGGGCAATCTGTTACATGCAACACTTGCCTCCCTTGATGCCAGAATTGGTGAGAACTTGGCATGCATCCCTGATGAATACATGCATTAAGATAGGGAGGCACATGAATCACATTGGCAATGGGTCCATCAATAGGATAAAATACGCAAGGAAGTTCAGACAGAAAGTCATCCTATAATGATCATGTACCAAAACACCCTTAATCTGACTAGGAAAATAATTGTTGCTAGGGAAAAATGGGGGAGGGTTGTTACACACTCTCTTAAAATAAATCAGTATTATTAGTGATATATAATAAATAGTTATCCACAGCATGGATTCTCCACACTGTGGTTAGAATAGTACATAAGAATCATTCTCTGGTCCTTATGCCTTTCTCTTAACCCCCATCTTATCCTATTACATGATGTACCACGATTTTCTTTTTTAATTTAGCATTTTTCTTAATTCTTTAATTGCCTAAAGTCAAACATAGATTAAAACGTCAAAAAAAGATCAAAGTGCACGTTAAAAATTCAAACATAGATAAAACTAATCCATGATATTAGGAAGTCTGGACAGTAGTTACCTTTGGGAAGGAGGAGGATATGACTGGGGATCAGCAGGAATGGGGCTTCTAGGGTGCTGACAATGTTCTATTTCTTGATTTGGGTGTTGGTTATACAAGTGTGTTCATTTATAAGCTGTACACTGTTCTCCATGTATGTTGAAACTTTAAAAAAAACCTTTTAGGGACTTCCCTGGTGGCGCAGTGGTGAAGAATGCACCTGCCAATGCAGAGGACATGGGTTCGATCCCTGGTCCAGGAAGATTCCACATGTCACGGAGCAACTAAGCCTGTGTGCCACAACTACTGAGCCTGCGTGCTGTAACTACTGAAGCCTGGGTGCCTAGGGCCCGTGCTCCACAACAAGAGACGCCACTGCAATGAGAAGCCCATGCACCACAACGAAGAGTAGCCCCCGCTCACCACAACTAGAGAAAGCCTCTGTGCAGCAACAAAGACCCAACGCAGCCAAAAAAAAAAAAACAAAAAAATACAAAAATAACACTTTTAAATAATAACCTTTAAGGTTTAAATAAATAAAGCTTTTAAAAAGGAAAATGAAATAAGTTGTGTTACATTAAAATGGAAACTATTCAAAAGCGCCTGATGAGCAAATTGGCAAAAACTGTATTTTTTATTATGTGCTGTCAAAAAAAACACTCATCAGCATGTATTGCTATTTATTTCATATTTTTAATTAATAAACTCTAAAAGTAATTTGAAAAAAGAATGATTATAAACTTGGTTATGTGTTTGAAATGCTGACAATCACAATAGCTATGTTTCCTTTAAACAAAATACAAACACATAGTATCATATTGTAAACAGAGAAATAAAATCCAAACAGGGAAGAACTAAGTCTCAGGTTTATATTATGTCTCTTACAGAATTCTGTATGAATTAAGAAATACTATAAAAATAAACAACGAAAAATGTGAATGATATGAAGAAAGAAAAGGGGAAAAGCATAAAACACATACACCCTAAACCATCTTCTTGGAATAACACATCTCTGATTAGTTTTTTCAAATATTTTAAACCAAATTAGGAATAAGTAACAATTACAGCAAGGACAGTATAAAAAGATATTGCTAAAAGAGTAGTTATTATTATCTTACATTTTTGGTTCTCAGGGAGTTTTTCACTAGTAGGAGACAAAAAAAATCCATTCTCTCACTGTGCTTTATAATAGAGAATTTTCATTTTTAGCATTGTAAAGAAACAAAAGCCAATACCCACCATTCACTCAGAATGTAGAAGTAATAAACTAAATCCTTATATTCTACAGAATACCATGGTACTCTTATTAAAAGAGAAAATTTTTGCACAAAATTAGTGTCACACACTTCTTACCTTTTAAAAACCTGGTCAAAATTGAGAGCTTTGTATTAAAAATCTTTGCTGAAGAGTTCCATCCATCTCCTCCTTTTCAAAGATCTATAGGTACTGACTCCTACCCCTCTCACCATGACTTCTTCCCACATAGGTGTAATGAAATTTCCAAGTCTGAAACTGGAGTCCCGATGTAAAATCATACCCTTCTGCTGTGCTCATCCCCATACCAAAAATGATGAATGGCTCATTAGACAATATTGAGGGAGGAAGTGACTCATATCAAATGCTACAAACTTCTCCCCCAGAAGGGTTTCTGAATCTGCCTGTGTAATCCAGTAGAGCTGCTTTTGACATTTCAAGTTTTAAGGCAGAATGAGTCTTGCTCTGGAGTGGGGAACCTTTAGCACACAAATGCCAAATATGTACTTAGGTGAAACTCTGTAACATATGGTACTGAGTTACTTTCTCATACATTCTCCACAGTAACCACCTGACTATCTATTTGTAAGAATGCCCAGAAGAAGAGATTTTTAAAAGGCCAGTTAAAATTATTTCTATTGAATATTACATTAACAAAAATATGTTATTTTAAGAACTGTTTATCCTTACCCAGTGGAGGCCGAAGTAAGTCCCCCTCCTTTTCACATGTCCCAACAGGCTGTATGTCCGGAGAATCAACAAGCCGCCAAAAATCATTTCTGTTGTCACTACCATCCAGTCTTAAACGTAGCCTGGCACCAGTAATTCCAACGACTGTGGCGATACATATTGAAATCATATTGCGAGGGTCATGGGCTTCCAGTTTCATACCAACTTTGAAGTCATTAGCTGGTGGAATCTGGGACTATATATATACATACATATAAATAAAATTTTGTTAAAACGCATCAACTATAAGAAAATCAAATGGTCAGTTTGATTTTTAAGTACGTTTTAAGTAACAGTCACAGCAGTTGGTGAACAAAGTAAGAGCTATAAGGGTTAAGAAAAAGATCTTCTCCAAACCCTCTCCTTGGCTTGACATGCAGCCTGACTTGGCTGCCCACTGCTGGTCTTGCTAATCTGCCCACTTCCAGGCAACCCAAATACAGCCTCAAAAATGCATCCTGAGTGGCTTTCTAAAATAAGAATATGATTAGGCCATCCCCCTTAAAATAAGCCAAACGGCAGCTCACCACTGCCTAACATAAAGTCCAAATCCTCAGTACAGGTTAAAAGCCACCGCACCTTAATCTCATTCCCATACTATCACTTCTATCCACTTTGTGCTTCAGCCACTCCACACCATCCCTTAACACTCAGGTTCTTTTACACCCACGTGCCTTTGCTTTGGATGTTCTCTCTGCCTGGAATATCCCTCCCCTCATCCCAATCACCTCAGATAGCCACCTCTTCTGTAAGCCCTCCCAGTATAGTTATCACACTTTTCATAATTAATTATTTACATGTCTGTCTTTCTCTCCAGATCTGACATAAAGTAAATTCTTAATGAATGGATGCAAAGAGACCATCTGGTTCTTAAGCAGCACTAACACAATCCCACTATCTCCTCACACTACTAGAACCTAACAATCACACAGGCACCCTTCAACAAGTTAATAGTTTACATCAATATATACAACATGACATCTACAGAATTTTGGCATACCTGTCTGAAACACTCTGAAGGAGCACTTAAAGATCCAGTCTCTTTCAAGTAATTTTCCCAGTTAAAATCATCTGGAAAAAAACACGCAAAAATAGTTCTGTTGTTTCCTTTTTTTGGCCATGCCATGCAGCTTGTGGGATCTTAGTTCCCCGACCAGGAATCGAACCTGGGCCCACAGCAGTGAACGTGCCAAGTCTTAACCACTGGACCAGCAGGGAATTCCCATTAATACATATAATATGTATACTAACTTTCAGGAATAAAATGGGTTTTAGTTCCATATCTCTTCAAAGAAATACTTCTTAAAGAACAGATTCAAATTTCCTGATCTACATTTGACTACCAGCATGGAAATAAAAAATAAGACAACTTCCTAATAACAGCTCTGATATAAATTACAATCCAGATCATCTTGATGAAATGAAGACTGCAGCACAGTGATTCCAAAAATGTGAACTCTAGAAATAACTAAAGGACTTTTTATAGAGTAATAGCAAATTCTACTCATATGTCTCAAATATAAATTTACTCAAGACGTGTTTTTACCATTTCATCCCATTACTGTGAAGGCGTTTCTTTGTTTTTCACAGGGATCTAAAGGTGTTTAGATGTGTGGTATAGCAGAAATAAAGCAATACTTTATGGAAAGAAAAACTCTGAGAACCAGCATTGTTTCTCAATTGACTATTAGATCCCCATCCAGGGTGTTAAGAATATGGTAGCAGAACAAAGCAGAAACCAGTCGTCAGTGCAATGACTGATATGCATTGTTGTAATTATCTGTATTTTCTACAAACTCTTGCTGTCCTTTCTCTCACTCAGTCTTCATGATATATTATAATGCTAGAAGAGAAGGTCAGAAAGCAGTATACTTTGCCTGGACACTTCAATTCACTGTGCCAGTCACACTGCCAAGACACTGAAAGACTTGATAGCAGTATTAAAGGTACTATTAATTCATACAAAGTTTAATTCTCATCAACCATGACGTTTTTTTCTATACTCTTGTCTAATTTCCTCACTATAAAAATATTGGGTTCGACAGTTCCCTCCCTAGGGGAATCTGTGTTACTAGCCTCTTATATATCCTTCAAAGGATATAACAGTTCCACTTACACACTGCTAATAAATGTTTAACAGCCAACTTTCCAGAAAATACAAACAAAAAGCCTGACTGGTAGTGTTTGCAGATTTCTGTGGTGTAAATACTACCACCATGGCTGAGTGATTGCAAGGTGCCAAGGTAAAGTCACCAACCACAAAGTTGGGAAGAAATGTGTACCACTGGCTCTCCCAAGCTGATGTGAGCCAGCTTCAGAATACCACTGTTACCTGAAAGTATGCATTTATATGTGTATGTACACATATTATATGTGGTATTAAGCATGTCATATGTAACACTGTATACCCTTTTAGAGATTTTTCCACTAAAAGAAAAAATACTGGGTTTAATTCTTCTTCCAGATAATGTAAAGCAAGCACTACCACAGTGCTGAAAGGTATGAAGCAGAATGTCAAGAACACAGGCTCTGGAGATGAACCTGCCGCCTTTCAGTCGGACTCTGCCTGTTACTAGCTATGTGACCCTGAGCAAGTCATTTCCCTTTCTCAGCCTCAGTTCCTTCACCTATAAAATGAGGAAAGTAATACATATGATATAAGGTATTTTGAGAACTAAGTGAAGTAGTACACATGCAAGTAACTCAATAAATGGTTTATGTTATTATTCTAAAACTAAATGTCATAGTTGTGCCTAAACTTAAGAATACTGGATAGCTTTATTAAAAGTGAAAACTGAGATCTGTGGTTCCAAAATTTAACTGACCAGGTTATTTCAGTGACCTCCTAAGCACTAACCTGACAATCAAGAGACCCAAGGTTCTAACTGAAGCTCTACCACCATATGACCTTGGAGAGCATTACAAAAGAAGAACAAAACAAAACATGAATGGGGGAAAAAATCTCACTAGGATGTCATTAAGGAGCCACCATACCAGGAAGAAAGGAGTATAAGTTGAAAATAATGACTGAGAAATCAAAACCATTTCACAATTATACCTCAAAGAACTTAATTAAGACTCTTCCACAAACCAGTTACATTTGTAAAATTTTTCAACGACATTGGAAAATACTTTATCCAACACAATTTTTAAAATATTCTATTACCATTTGTGTCTTAATGGGCTATAATTTGAACTAGCAAATCCTTTATACCAGTGCTCCATAATACAATTATTTTCTATTGCACTGCTAGTTAATTTAACCTTTGGAGCCTTAATTTTTTTCTTTATTCATAAGGCAAAAATTTTTAGTCCACAGAACCGTTCAGCTTGGTTGTCCATATGATGAGAGCCTGCCAATAACATGGGGGAAACACACATAGCAAAAGGCTTTACTAATTTAGATTTGATACATCTACAATATCACAGCTGGAATTGCTGACCAGGAGCCAAAACAGTCAAAGTCACAGACAAGCATGAAGTTCCCGTCTGCCTCTGCATCTTATCCTCACTGACAGATTTGGGTGGGGGGGGGGGGGTTACCCTCTCTCAGAAAGGAGCCCTGGGAACTCATAGACCTGTTCATGAGACAGATGTACATACATAACTTTGTGATCTGTTACCTGCACATGTTTATGGTCCTTCTTGTTTGATTTGTACTCTATTCTAATCCATACATTAACCCAAACACCTTTCAGCAAACTGAACATAATCTATGAGGCCCCCCAGTCTTCTCCAGAGTAAATCAGAATCATAATGTCTTCTACCAGTGAGAAAGAATGACTCCATGGGGATTACCTCTATAGGCAATCTTCCTGTAGGAACAGAAAGTCATGGGTGAACTACTTACTCCAAGAGTAGGGCTGGCAGGGCAGCTACAACAGAAAGACAAGGGGCAAGAGGTTTGCCTGGAAATCTCTGGTAAGTTTGCTGTAGTATTTTTTAAATTCAGCCTTTTTTCTATGTATGACTTATTTTCTCATTTTCCTTAAGAGCAGGTGCAATGAGTCAGATTCTATCTCCTGAGTCTCTGATGTAGTGCTATATACATGCTGTTCACAATAAAAAAAACTTAAAACATGAATTAATAACTCAGACTTCATAAACGAAGTTAACATTTACTGAACATTTACTATAAGCCTAGGCATTATATTAGGTGCTTTACACTCATTTTCTTTAATTCTAATAGTTCCACGAGATAAGTAGTATTATCCCTGTGCTACACAGGAGAAAAAGGAGACTAAGAATGTTGAGTAATTTGCCCAAGGTCACAAGGCCAGTAAAGAATGAGGCCAAGATTCTAGAACAGATCTGTCAGACCCCCTCAATGCCTAAGCTTTAATCCACTGGACTGTCTTTTGACCATCAAAAAAGGACTTTCACATTGACTCTAGTGTTAGAAGAGTTTTTATTAATAATCAAATTATTTTAAATTGGTAATTCATGGTAATTAATAACTATATATCTTTAATTTGGCAACATTTGCACTGAAATACAGGGTTATCTTTTAACTTAATCCCTCTCTACGTGAAACCAAAGTAAAATTTCCAAAATTAAACACTATCTTTTTGACCTTTCCTATTGCTTAGATTTTATATTTTATATTGCTTACTATACAGAGATTATACCAAAAGCAGTAAGAGAAGAGTTTATATCAACACTGAGTGAGGAAGAAAAATATGTTGTACTGAACTAATTTAAAACCTACCATCTTGCACAGAAGATGTGCCTGACTGAGGAGCCTTCTCTTGATTCTCCTTCTTTGCATCCATTGACTCTTAAAAAAAAAGAAAGAAAATAGTGAGAAATAACAGAAGGCCAGAGAAACAGTTTGAAAGAGTACTTATAAAAACCATAAACTAAAACTATTTTCTAATAGAAGCCAGTTTTAATTTTATAATTAATATCCTCATTTTCTGCATAGGACTTCACTTTCCAATATACAATGTACCTTTTTTAAATTTTATTTATTTATTTATCTATCTATTTATTTTTATTTTTGGCTGAGTTGGGTCTTTTGTTGCTGCGTGCAGGCTTCTCTCCAGTTGCGGCGAGCGGCGGCCACTCCTCGTTGCAGTGCGCGGGCCTCCCCTGCTGCGGAGCATGGGCCCTAGGCATGTGGGCCTCAGTAGTTGTGGCACATGCGCTCAGCAGTTGTGGCTGGAGGGCTCTAGAGCACAGGCTCAGCAGCTGTGGCACACGGGCTTTGCCGCTCCGCGGCATGTGAGATCTTCCCAGAGCTGGGCTCGAACCCGTGTCCCCTGCATTGGCAGGCGGAATCCCAACCACGGAGCCACCAGGGAAGCCCATAATGTACCTTATAATTTGCTTATTTGTTTACTGTATGTCTCACTTCACTCAAATGTAAGCTCCAAAAGATCAGGAATTTTTAAATTTTACTTTGTCTCCTTTGTTCACTGCTGTATCCTCAGTGCCTAGAAAAGGACCTGGCATACAGAACACCCTTGAGCATTTGTTAAATGAATGAACGAACAAACCAAAATGAGCTAGGCTGATCCTTACAATGTTCAGATTAATGTGCCTCAGAAATAAAGCGCAAGCTTTTGAGAATTTAAAACAAAAGGGGGGCTTCCCTGGTGGCGCAGTGGTTGAGAGTCTGCCTGCCGATGCAGGGGACACGGGTTCGTGCCCCGGTCCGGGAGGATCCCACGTGCCGCGGAGCGGCTGGGCCCGTGAGCCATGGCCGCTGAGCCTGCGCGTCCGGAGCCTGTGCTCCGCAACGGGAGAGGCCACAACAGTGAGAGGCCCACGTACCGCAAAAAAAAAAAAAAGGGAAGCTAAATTACAATGTAATTCAATGGACTAGGCAAAGTTTTTCTCTGTGCTAGGCTGAGGAACTCAAACAGTACTGGACCTTGGGACTTGAAGTCTAAGATGTATTTCATCCACATTTATTACAGTATATATTTCTTAAATGACTCATTTAAAAATTAATCATAATACTATTATTATGCTGAAAAATTAACCAAAATTCTTTAATATTATCAAATAAGCAGTCAGTATTCTCATTTTCCCCATTGTCCTAAATATTTTAAATGTGTCTGTTTCAATCAGGACCCAAATAAAGTCCATACAGAGCAATGGCAGATACATTTCTTAAATTTCTTTTGATCTATAGACTCCTCCTCCTCCTCCTTCTTTTTCCCCCTTCCCCTAGCAATTTTTTTGCCGATGATACCAGTTCAGATTTTTCCAACCTGGAGTTTGCTGACTACTTCCTCATAATGCTGGGTTCTTCTGGTCCTTATATTTTCTCTTAATTCGTATAGCTATTTCGAGCCAGAAGAGCTTAACCAGATTCAGGTTTGGCTTCTTTGGGAGGAAGAGAGAAGATGACTTCATAGGTACTTCTCACAGGGGGTTCCTAATATACCTAGTTCTCTCTCTTTTTGTGATATGAGCTGCCATGGATGATTATTGCCTAGATCCATTAGTTCATTAGTGGCTGCAAAATGGAGGTATTCTAATTATCGTCCTGTCTTTATTAGCCAGAAAACTTCTATAGAGAGAAACCTCCCCTCTTCAACCATTCAGTTACCTTGAGGTAGAGCTCACAAAGGGAAGTCACAATCAACACTTTGTTCTTTTCCTTTATTTTCTAGTTTTCAAGATAATGAATTGTATCCGTGGGACTTCCCTGGCGGTCCAGTGGTTAAGACTCTGTGCTTCCAATATAGGGGGCATGGATTCGATCCTGGTTGGCGAACTAAGATACCCATGCCGTGCAGCCAAAAAATTTTAAAAATTAAAAAAAAAAAGAGTCGTATCCCTACCATTCTCCACAGATGACAAATAAATTTTGTTTTGTTTTTTAGTATCATTATGAACTAACGAATTTAACCACACTTCATGTGTTTCTATCTATTGCTGTTTTACCCTTACTGATGCTTGAATTGTCAAGTGACAAATTTCTTAAAAAAGAATGTATGAATGATGCCAGGTGTACCATTTAAGGTAACAGATCTACTTTCTGGTTATGACTGAGTGACTCTTCAAGATACGTGAACACTCGACAGGGATGTATGGGCTGCTCTCTATTTAAATAATTTGGATAGTATGAAGACAGTACACATTTATATTTACTAAATAGTTCTACAGTAAGATTTTCTAATAGGAAAGAAAGTGAAATTATAAAGGCCTGGTTCCTGCTCTAGGGAAGCTAAGAATCTAGGTACAGAGACTATACTAAACTAATACACTTGACAAAAATGGAAATAGCAGAGCACAACATTCAGCATGCAGCCAGAGAAAAAGTCATGAGAGACAGAAGACTTAAACTGGGTCTTGAAGGAAGAACAGGATTTAGAACAACAAAGGTATGAAGAATGTATTAACGGGAAAGAAAACACAACTCAAAACAGAGAGTGCAAATGAGTGTGGCATATTCATGGGACAGTGAGCAAACTTCTCACTAGAGCAGTACAGGATGAAGCATTTTTTAAATCACCCCTATTAGAGTAAGAAAATCTGGACTGTGATCTTGGCTGTCACAGATTGTTTTATGACCTGTTCACTTAAACTCCCTCAGTGTCAGCTTTCTCATTTATAAAACTAAGAAGGGAAGACAAGATTACCTTTAATAGCTATTCAGTTCTAAAATTCCAATTCTAAGCACCTAACGTCTTCTATAACTTTACTTTTAAAAAGGCTTTTTTCCCCCAAACATTCAATCTACCAAAAGATACTCATTCCCAATGAATAAATAAAAATATTTATCATCTTTAGACAAGTAAATCTTACCTTCATTCACTGTTTGCCCCATGGTATCCCTCTCTGGTGTTCTTTCCTACAAGGTGAAAAATCAATTACTACCTCCTTTTAACGTAATACATTTCTGAATGGTGGTATTATTACAAATCAGCTATAATGGGACTACATCAAACTAAAAAGCTTTTGCACAGTGAAGGAAACTATCAACAAAATGAAATAGCGACCTACTGAATGGTGAAAGATATTTGCAAATAATATATCCAATAAGGGGTTGATATCCAAAATATACAAATATCTCATACAACTCAACATCAAAAAAACAAACAACCCGATTAAAAAATGGGCAGAGAATGTGAACAGACACTTTTCCAAAGAAGATATACAAATGGCCAATAGGCACATGAAAAGATGTTCAACAACACTAGTCATCAGGGAAATGCAAATCAAAACTTCAATGACATACCACCTCACACCTGTCAGAATGGCTATTATCAAAAGACAACAAATAGGGCTTCCCTGGTGGCGCAGTGGGTGAGAGTCCGCCTGCCCATGCAGGGGACATGGGTTCGTGCCCCGGTCCGGGAAGATCCCACATGCCGCGGAGCGGTTGGGCCCATGAGCCATGGCCACTGAGCCTGCGTGTCTGGAGCCTGTGTTCCGCAACAGGAGAGGCCACAACAGTGAGAGGCCCACATACCGCAAAAAGAAAAAAAGAAAAAAAAAAAAAAGACAACAAATAACAAGTGTTGGTGAGGGTGTGGAGAAAAGGGAGCCCTCGTGCACTGTTGTTGAGAATGCAAATTGGTGCAGCCACTATGGAAAACAGTATGGAAACTCCTCAAAAAATTAAAAATATAACTACTGTACGATCCAGCAACCCCACCCACTCCTGGGTATTTATCTAAAGAAAACAAAAACACTAATCAAAAATATATATGCACCCCTACGTTCACTGCAGCATGATTTACAACAGCCAAGATATGGAAGCAACCCAAGCGTCCATAAACAGATGAATGGATAAAGAAGATGTGATATATATACACAATGAAGTATTACTCAGCCATAAAAAATAAAATAAAATCTTGCCATTTGCAAACAACATGGATGGACCTAGAGGGTATTATGCTAAGTGAAGTAAGTCAGACAAAGACAAATACTGTATGATTTCTTATACATGGAATCTAAAAAAACAAAACAAATGAACAAACATAACAAAACAAAAACAGTCATAGATACAGAAAACAAACAGGGGGTTGCCACAGGGTAAGGGGTTGGGAGGAAGAAAGAAAGGTGAGGGAGATTAAGAGGCTCAAACTTTCAGCTACAAAAAATGAGTCAGAGGTATGAAATGTACAGTGTGGGGAACACAGTCAATAATTATGTAATATCTTTGTATGGTAACAGATCATAATTGTAACTAGACTTACCGTGGTAATCATTTTGAAATGTACAGAAATATGAAATCACTATGTTGTGTAACAGGAACTAACATAGTGTTGTAGGTCAATTACACTTTAAAAACAAAGAAACAAACTCATAGAAAAAAAGATCAGATTTAATTATCAGATCAGATAAATAAATAATTATCTAACAAAGCAGGATAAAATACAGGTTCTTTGGGAAGTTAGGAGGTACTGTGAACTGAGAATATATAAGAAGCCTTCTCAGAGGAAATGGTAGGTAAACTGGTACTTTAAAGGTGAGCATTTCAATGAACAGAGAAGAATGAGAGAGGAATTTCAGGCTGAAGGTACAAAATGAGTGGACACTAAAGAAGAGCCTGCCTCCTCTACTTGATTATGAAATGCTGGAGTTGCTCAGATTCCTTCTGGGCTCTCATCTCCCTCTATAGTCTCTCAGGAGCCACCCATACACAGATGACTTGCAAAGCATTACCTTTCCTTCCCAGACTTCTCCTCTGAAAGTCAGACTGAAATAATTAAATGGATTGGCTATTTGATACCACTGGGAAGATGCTGTCGATTAAGGACTATAGCCTAGCAGCAAAAGAAAAAGTGAAATATAGAGAGAGTGCTGAATCGAAGCAGAAAGTAAAGGGAGACGAGCTGTAATCCACGTAGGGAACAAAGGCACTTAACCAACTCTAGTCAGAAAGTAAAAAGCTGTGAATTACATTAAAGTTAAGTCCCATTACTACACAAAGGGATTCAGTTCAAAAAAACTCAGGGATGGGTCACACATAGAAGATATACCCAGGTTCCTATGTCCTTCTCTAAAATCTCTAACTCATAACTGAGTTCTGAATCTCAACTGGTATCAATTCCTCCCATTAGTTGAGTAAGTGATTTTGTAATCCTAGAAGGTGAAAATATATGTTTAGAAATAATTAAAACCAAATCTTTTTTATCTTTTTTTTAAATTGAAGTATAGTTGATTTACAATGTTGTGTTAGTTTCTGCTCTACAGCAAAGTGACTCTATACACATATATACATGTATATATACATATACATGTGTATATACTCTATACACATACACACACTTTTCCTGAAGACCTAAATAAAGAAATCCATGTATCATGTTCACAAGTTGGAAGATTACTTGGATAGGGATAAAAATGCACTAATCACAAGAGAAACTGGATTTAACCATGATTAAATTTTCTGTTTATCCAAAGGTACTGTTTAATCAAGATGGAGTAGTATTGGCATCAGAGCAGACATACAGATCAATGGAACAGAACAGAGAGTCCTGAAAGGTGCACCTATATACGGTCAATAGATTTTCAACAAATCGCCAAGGTAATTCAGTGGACAAAGGATGGTTTTGGTTTTTTGCTTATTTTTTCAACAAATGGTGCTAGAACATATCTACATACAAAAAAAAAAAAAACCTACAATGAGGTACCACCTCACACCCGTCAGAATGGCCATCACTGGAAACGAAATCATCTCAAGGAAATAACTGTACTCCCATGTTCACTGCAGCATTATCTGCAATAGTGAGGGTATCGAAACACCTAAGTGTCCATCGACAGATAAACAGATAAAGAAAATGTGGTGTGTATATGTCCAATGGAATATTATTTAACCTTATAAAAGAAGGAAACCTTGCCATTTGTGACAATACAAATGAACCTGGAGAGCATTATACTAAATGAAATGAGCCAAAGACAAATACTACATGGTATTATTTACATGTGAAATCTTAAAAAAAAAAAAAAGGAAATATGTGAGGTGATGGATATGTTAATTAATTTGCTTGTGGAAATCCTTTCACACTATATATGAATATCAAATTATTACTTTGTGCACTTTAAATATACTACAATTTTATTAGTCAATTATACCTCAATAAAGCTGGGTGGGGAAAAAAAAGAATGGCCATCATTAAAAAGTCTTCAAATAACAAATGCTGGGGACTTCCCTGGTGGTCTAGTGGTAAAGAATCCGCCTTCCAATGCAAGGAACGTGGGTTCGATCCCTGGTCGGGGAACTAAGATCCCACATGCCGTGGGGCAACTAAGCCCGTGGCCATAACTACTGAGCTCGCCCACCTCAACGAGAGAGTCCGCATGCCACAAACTACAGAGCCCACGCGCCACAACTAGAGAGAGAAAACCTGAACGCCACAACCAGAGAGAAGTCCACGCACTGCAACAAAGTGCCTACATGCCACAACAAAAGATCCCGCGTGCCTCAACGAAGATCCCACATGCCACATCTAAGACCCGATGCGGCCAAAACAATAAAGAAAAAAAAATGCCACACTGGGAGTGTGGGATTAGCAGATGTAAACTACTTATATAGGATGGATAAACAACAGGGTCCTACTGTATAGCACGGGAACTATATTCAATATCCTGTGGTAAACCATAATGGACGGACTTCCCTGGTGGTCCAGTGGTTAAGAATCCGCCTTCCAATGCAGGGGAAGAGGGTTTGATCCCTGGTTGGGGAACTAAGATCCACATGCCGTGGGGCAACTTAAGCCCGCACGCTGCAACTAGAGAAGCCTGAGCACCACAACTAAGACCTGACGCAGCCAAATAAATTTAAATAAACAAACAAAAATGGTCCACATCAAAAAAATCTTTAAAAAAAACCATAATGGAAAAGAATATTAAAAAAAGAATGTCTGTATGTGTATAACTGAGTTACTTTGCTGTACAGCAGAGATTGGCACAGCATTGTAAATCAACTATACTTCAATTTAAAAAAAAGAAAAAAAACACCTCACAACAGACAAAAACTGCTACCTTGAGATAGATCATAAATGTAAATGTAAAGCCTAAAACTATAAAATTTCTAGAGGAAAACATAGAGCTCTTGTGACTTTGAGTTAGGCAATGATTTCTTAGATATGACACAAAAAAGCACAACACATAAAACAAAAAATGATAAATTGGACTTCAAAACTAACAACTGCTCTTCAAATGACACTGTTAAGAAAACAAAAGGATAAACTACAGGATTGGAGAAAATATCTGCAAAACACATATCTGATAAGAGATCTGTACCCAGAATATACAAACTACTCTGACAACTCAATTTTAAAAGGCAAACAGAGCCCAATAAAAACATAATTGGCAAAAGATTTGGACAATCACTTCGATAAAAAAGATACATAAACGGCCAACTAGCATGTGAAAAGATGTTCAACATCATTAGTATTCTGGGAAGCACAAATTAAAGCCACAATGATATACCACCACATAAATGGCTAAAATTAAAAAGACTAACACTACCAAATGCTGGTGAAGATGAGGAACTGGAACTCTCATTCATTGTTGATGGTAATGTAAAATAAGTACTCCTATTAAAATAGAACCTTCTTAGAGTTAAATGCAAAGCAAATATTCTTAACTTCAAAACAAGTGTTTTGGAATCCAAAGCACTTACTTTAGAGGTAGAACCACAGACCAAAGAATCAAATATTCTACTTATCCCTAGATAAAAACAGAAAGAATTCCAGACCCCTTTAGTTTGAGATTAGCCATATTAGACAAAATCAACTCTTTCAGAGTTTGGAAACGTTTCCTTTTCAATTATCATAGTCATTCAGCACCACTGAGCAGACATATACTCTTATGAAGTCCGAAGTCATGTCAAAAAAA